TGTTTTTTTTTTTTTTTCCTGCTGTATTTGAGGGAGCAGGTGCCTGAGAGGAGGGAGCGATGTAGGAGGTGCCTGGGGTGCTCAGGGAGGTTTTTCCAGGAGATAAAACGATGTGGGAATGGAAGGGGTAGACTTGTCAGTCCTCTCAGGGTGTTCCAGGGGAGAGACTTCACATCCCCCCTCTGGAGAGAAGGGGGATTAAAGCTCTGTATTTCTTTTTTCTTTTTTATATATATTTTTAAAAAATAAGCGAAGGAAAAAAAACCACCACAAAACCAAAACAAACAAACCCAACCCGGTGGCCCAAGGATGGAGTTTCAGTAGCCAACCACAGCTGGACTGCTGGGGGACAAGGGTTGGTGCACTCTGGCTCACGCACCCATGAAGAGAGAGTCTCCAACCTGTTTGGCTTCGTGGAGAGATAAGGCCAGTTGAGCTCCATGTTTTTAAAGGTGGGCCGCGTATGGTGAAACCCAACTCCTTTTAAACTCTAGCAGATTTCATTATATATCTATATTGGTTTTTTTTTTATGGCCAAATGACAGCTTGACCCAGTTGTTATCCAATCAAAAAGGGCATTTTTTTTTTTTTGTTTTGTTTGTTTGTTTTTGAATGTCTCTCTGTGGCCCGACAGCCAACGCAAAAATGATGGCGGCTTACAATGGCGGTACGTCTGCGGCAGCAGCAGGTCACCACCACCACCATCACCGCCACCTTCCTCACCTCCCTCCTCCTCACCTCCATCACCACCACCACCCTCAACATCACTTGCACCCAGGCTCTGCAGCTGCCGTGCACCCCGTACAGCAACATGCCTCTTCGGCGGCGGCGGCCGCGGCGGCGGCGGCTGCGGCGGCCGCGATGCTCAACCCAGGGCAGCAACAGCCATATTTCCCATCGCCGGCGCCGGGTCAGGCCCCTGGACCAGCTGCAGCAGCCCCAGCTCAGGTACAAGCTGCAGCAGCTGCTGCAGTTAAAGCTCACCATCATCAGCACTCACAACATCCACAACAGCAACTGGACATTGAGCCGGACAGACCTATTGGATATGGAGCCTTTGGTGTTGTCTGGTGAGTAACCAAAAAAAAACCCCCAAAACCTGATTTTTCCTTTTCATAATTTTTTTTCTTTTACCAGCTCATAATTCATTCTTGGTTCCTACAACTTGGCTGCTTCCTACAACTTTTATCTCTTTTTACTGGTTCTTCTCTGTTCTTAGAAAGTTGGCTTCACTTGTGCTTGTTGGCAGAACGAGGTTTAGAGTGGTGGAAGAGCAACCTCTGACTAACAGGCCACACAATCACTTGAGACAGATGCAACATACTTATATACCTTCTATACATTTTATTAGAATATGTATTCCATGTAGGTAGGCTGTGCTTCCTAAAGTTTCAGGTTACCAAATGAGCATTAGAATATATGTTTTGACCTGAGTTAAGACTTAGACATTAAAAGCGTATGAAAATGTCTTCCTTCTTCAGTCACCTGTCAAGATCTTTGTCTAGGAGGCTGTTTGACCTCCAGCAGTGTGCTGTATGCTACCTGAAACAGAGGATCTGAACTTTACTCTCCTCTCATAAATGGAGATGGGATTTTCTGTCTTACTGTAGCACTGCCCACAGTCCTGTCATTCCCCCCAGCTGCTATTTCAGAGGATTCCGTCAGGGCAACGTAATCTCTTCCAATATATTTTGTGACCACCTTCATATAATGCCTGTAATTACTGCTCTTTGTAATCACTGAAGTAGGACTGGCATGTTTTGGGGTTTTTTTGGGTTTTTTTTGTGGTTTGCTTTTTGTTTTGTTTTCAAATAACCCGTTGTCAGTTTAACAAGTTCTGAGCTGTGCATTAGGAACATGAAGGATGCTTCCGTGGTGTTTCTGAGCTCGAGCGTGTTGCAGCACACTTCCTGTCTCACAGCAACAAAGTTTGAAGTGTGCAACTGCCTTGTGTCCCTGCCGAACTTTCTATACAGCCTTCAGTCCACAAGGCTTTCTGTGGTGCTTGAGGAGCTTTGCTTTAGGTACTGCTTTAATTTTACGGAGAGAGAAGAGTTCTGTGCCTGGGGTTGCAGCCTGTAGCCACACATGGTGGTGAAGCACTGTGCAGGACAGGCCTCAGAAGAGCAAGACATGTTATTCCTTCATCCCAGCCCTTAAAGTTGGTCACTTATAACCAGGCTGGTGTTTGTAGTAAAACCTTGTTCTCTAAGAAGGCTGAACAAGCTGCACAAACTGCGCTTAGGTTAATGTTACAGTTGATCTTGTGTCCCTTAATTCAGAAGGCCCTGGGGAGTTAATTTAAATGCTAAGTTTTCCAAGTAAAAGGGATGCTTTTGTGCAGTTAGCACTGCTGTGGTCCTGCTATGGGGTAAAAAAGTTTATATAAAAGAATGAAAACTGACAAGAAATCTGCTGTAAAAATTATCTAAAGATTATTTCCATCTGTTCGTATATTTTTTGATAAAGTGTGGGGTATTTTTAGCTTAATCGTTCCAGGCTTGCTTAAATTTAGGTTGTTATGTAAGATCAGACCCTGTTATCATCTCTGCAAGCATTTTGTTTACCTGGATGTATTTCCTAGGTCTTATTTTCTCTGTTTTATTTGCCAAAAAAGAAGGTGCAGAGAGAGATCTGCTTTCATAATATTCAGTAGAATAAAAGGTCAAGCTTGCATATTTAAATATAATATCATTAAGAATGCTGAGGGGAGAAAAAAAAAAGAAATGAGGAAGCAGAAGGGTTTGTCTGGGCTGGACTGATGTCAGGTGGAATGGGGCCAAAAATAACCCCCTGACCTGAGACCATTCCACACAAGCAGGAATCACCACTGGTGGGGACTCTGCCTGGAGGGTTGTAGCTACAGCTTGTACTTCAAGATAACAACAGCTTTAAAACCAAAAAAGTGGGAGAGTGTTAAGTAAAATAAAAGCCAGAAGCTTGGATCTCTGTAAGGTTGTGCAGACTGAGAAAATCATTGGTTGCAATTAGTTCCTTCTTGCTCACATGTTTGGATTCCGTGGTCACTTTTTAGACTTTTTGGCATTTCATATTAACTTACCTCAAGTGAATGCAAACTGAAGTTAAGAGGCTGTAAGCAATAATTACAATGAATCTTAGATTCCATTCAAAGCATAAAAGAAGGCCTGTGTAAATTAATTTTAGCCATGTGAGATAATGCAACTGAATATAAACATTGATTTGGATATTTATAGTTGAAGTTGACTCAGACATGAAAAATGCATACTTTGGTACAAGTGTAACACAGAATTCTCAGTAACATAAGGCCTAAGCTAATTTAGAGTAGGGATTCTGTTGCCTGTCTGCATCTCTGATCTTGTTTTGGCACTAATAGAGAACTGAAAAGTTCCTGTCTGGACTTCTGAGGGAAATGGATGTTATTCTGCTTTGACTATTTGAGGAAACCTCTCGTCTTGCTACTCAGGTGTGTCGTTGCATTGTCTAGAAGATGCAACCTCTCCTGCAGTTAGGTTTAGCTAGTTGAATTAGTCAGTAGTGAGTGAGACTGAGTTTGGTGGGGTTACCGTTGGTCATTGGTTCGTTCGTGTTTTGGGGTAGCTGATGTGCTGCTGGAGTTTTTCACTCAGGAAGAGCCCAAGCATCATGCTTCAGCATTTTCATTATTAACTCACGCAGGCTTGTGTTGCTGCTGCTGGTGTTTGTGTAACAAACTGGACCCTTGCTCATCTGGTCATTGTTGTTTTAGATCAGCTCTCCTTGGCACGTCATCTCCTCTGACTACATGAAGATTTTAAAGTGAATTTGACCAAAGCTGGCAAAGTAGAAAAGAATCCTTTGAACATGACAGCACTGAATTGCTATATTTATACATTTCCATTGTGCTTTGACACAGAATAAAGATGAGCATCCTAATGCCCCACCAAAGCTTGGCATTTCTGACATGTGACAAATGTGGGGTGTGAGTTGCTGAAGCAGGAAAAGATGTGTAGGTATCTTCCCTGGGTTCTGCAGGTTTGCTTCACTGCACTCTGGTTTGGCAAATGCCACAAACCAAGTTGTGTCCCTAGTTTGCTGAAAACAAAGCCATTTGCTCCTAAGTTGTCCCTGCCAACATGTTCTCAAAGCATTGAAAAAAATCCAGATTTTAGTTTTGTGGACAAACTCGATTTGTGCCCCGTGTTTTAAATTGTCTTACCTGGTTTTTGGAAGCCTTGTGTGTATTCTAAGAAAAAGGAGCTGTCCTTCACAGAAGTGCTCCCTGTTTTGCTGCTGCCATCTGGTGGGTTTTGTAATAATAATAATAATAATAATAATAATAA